GGGGGGAGTGAGTGACCTTGTGGTGTGGGCATAGAAATACTCCAAGTCATTTAGTGCTACAAATGTTGGGATAAGCTCTGGCTGTATGTGCCACTGGACCCATGTAGACTTTACCTACGTTGCCTCTTACATGTGAGTGGGTGAGGTACAGACATCTTAGGCAAACTTCCCTGTGGTGGGGGAATAGAAATACTCCAAGCCATTTAGTGCTACAGATGCTGGGATAAGCTCTGGCTGTATGTGCCACTGGACCCACGCAGACTTAACCTATGTTGCTTCTTAAGTAGCTGAGGTACTGATGTCGTAGGCAAACTTCACTGGGCTCAGGTTAAATTCTTAATAGCTTTTAGGTCAGCCAATTCAACTCCACTTCTAACAAAATGCAAATGTACTCTTCAGGAGGTATACTTACTAGACGACAATCTACAACAACAACAACCAAAATAGAGGCACCCATTACAAAAGTAAGTGGCATTTTGCTCATTTTTCCAGCAGTTTTATTTTTGATCAGCAATTTAATTCTTGCGACATCACAAATTAGTGACTTGAAGCTTGAATGGTTTTAACGGATTATACAGTCAAATCCTTTGAATTAATTTAGACACAGGATCTTAGGAAGTGTCTGTATATATTTAACAGGGTGTCTGTAGTAAGCAGGGTATCACATCAGGATTACATGCTTTGTTATAGAACAAATAAGTAAATAGAACTTCACCTGTAGAAAAGCAATCGCATTTATCTGGCCTTAAATATGTCTTGTTTGTGAAACCAAGGCCATAAGAACATTAAAGATGTACTCATCTAACAATGTTTATATCCCAGCTGGAGTCAAACATCGAGTACTGTAGGGTAAAGTGGGAAAAAACAAATTTTTGAGTAGATTATGTCGCTGATTGATCAACGCTATCCTCATTAATTGTCAGGTTTCTTATCATTTAGGCATGGTTTTAGCCTGTGAAAGTCACTAGGGATGTGATAATAACTGATTTTATTTGTTTTTCAGGTCATAAACATGCTGTCAGCAGCTCAAGAAAATAGTCCGATGTCTGTAGTGCAGGCATTAGATAGAGTGCTAGTAAGAATCATATTCCTTACTTATTGTATACATTTCTTGTAATGTTGGTTCAGGGAATTAAGTGTTATATAAGGATGTAACTGGGAGGGGGAAACTCCCGCTAATGGCCTATATGGAGGCTCCGCCCAAAAGGGTTACCTTTATCAGGCTTCAGGTATATCGAAGGGTAGGGATTTCACAAGTTGAGGTATATGTAAGGGTAGGGAAATCCGAGTATCTTGACTCCTACCACAACATGAACTGAACAAATAATTCTTATTTTTTGGTTAACATCTTTTCTGGTAATGCTTAATGTTCTCCCATAATATTGTTCCTAACTTCATTCCAAGGGTTTAGAACAGGGATGCAGTATTCTAAAGTAGGTATGTGAAAGACTGAGGTAACTTTTTCAATAAAGGGTGTATGAAAAGGGTAGCGTTTCTGTCAAGATGGTACAAAAGGGTATGGGGTTGAACCTTGGGGCAGAGCCTCCCCTAAAACTTTCCAGAGAAGCTTCCTCCTCCTCCTCCCCCCCTGCCGGGGGGAGAAGTCACCTGACTGCTGGAGCTAGTGCAGTTTGTGTTTTTGCCAGAAGAGTAACCAGTGATTTTATTTTCTCAGGAAATATTACGGACAGCTGAATTATATTCACCATTCACCACAACAGAGGAAGACCCAATGAATAATGAACTTGTGGGAGGTCTCATGAGCAATGTAAGTGTACTTTATTGTAATGATCAAATCTTCCTTTTGGATGATAAGCGACTGCACCCCCCCCCATAAGGACTGCCTTAAAACTCGTCAGTAAATGATCTTTGAGATGAGTTTAAGATGATTTATGAGGGTAGGGAAAGACGTAATTCTGGTGTCCCACCACTTGTGATTAGGTATGTCTTGCAGGAACATGATTTCAAGGGAACTAAGCAATTTGAAATTAATTATTACTATGTATACTAGAATCTATATATTATCTCAAACTATCCAGGAAAACAACAACAAAAAACTGTTTGGGAAAGCAGGCAAGAGGAAATAAGAAAGCCAGATTTTGGTTTTGGGAATTCTGTTCCATCTTGAAATTCAGTACCAATTTCAACTAAATTAAATAATGATCCACTGTTATTTGTTTTTTTTTTTTCAGGGCCGAAGGAGACCATCCTGTGACGTACCTAAACCAAGTATGAACTTATTCTACACATTTGGCCGAGGTCCGAGGCTAATGCTTACACTCTTTTCTAACTTTCATAATAACTGTTCTTAATAATTTAATGGTTTAATAATGAGTTATTTAATCATGTTAATAGCTTCCTCCACTTTAAACAAGCTTAATTACTGACACGTGATTCTCAACAGAATTTTTGAGTGGAAATTAACATGCGCTGACATTGTAAACCCTTTCCCTACTGTTCCTGGGGTGTGTTTCCCTGATTGCCTACTGTCACTAATAAAATTAATGTGTGGACAAAATAAATAGTTGTAGTAAGCACACTCAAACCATGAGCACCTGATATTATTTGTGCATTTTTTGGTGACTAACGAATGAAGGCTCTTGATGTAAGGTAAAAGATAAGCAATTATCACAGTGTAAAACAGTAAATACATTTGTTGATATGAAGATCCTCATTCTATAGTCACCCAAAAATGCACGAAAAGATGTCAAGTGTTCATGGTTCAAGTATACTCATGCTAAAGATGAAGGATTTGAGATCTTTGTAAAGGATGTTTTGACCAGTATGCCAAAATGCAGTAAATTCTCAGGAAAAAGAAAATGGAAGAAATTAAATGCCACTTGGGACATTCTTTATCTTTTATCTAAGGAATAGTGTAGTATACGTAGCATTGTTTATTTACATTTTAGATGTTAGGACGTGAATTGATTGTTTAAAATGTAACGAACTTTGAAAGAACGTAAATGTAAATTGTTATTTTTTCCTGGTCAGAGATCTCACGCACTCAGTAATTTTGATTTTGATCCTGAGGTACTAACGGGATGACACATTGCATAAGACCCTTTGCAGCTGGTGATCGCATGATGTACTTCAGACAAAAAACATTTTATAACATGAGCTGAAAATTATTGAGTACCAGAAAAGAGCGTGTTCAAAGACCATGGTTAAATAACCAAGAAATGTTCTTTAAAACATGAAATTTAAAGAAAGAATGAAAGGAAGGTCACTTGACCCTCTGCTGCACAAGGCCGCTTGTGTGGTCATTTCTGGACTGGGCTACTACCTCTCGAGGAACACCGTTAGCTCTTAAAGCATTGTACGTCAAGCCCCTTAATGCCGTAGAAAACATTGAAGGTAACGTTTGCAGTGAGGTGCCAGGGAGAGGTTCAAGTACTGGAGATATTACAGTTGTAATCTGTCTACATCTTACGCAGTCTGCATCTTTGTTGTCTTGACAGGCCATAAGGAATCCACCCAAAGCAATGTACGGACTCCGATCTCACACCTGCAGGAGGCACCCCCAGAAGTTATCGCTGCTATGGTTGACGAGGCAGACTGGGACTTTGATATTCTCAAGTTGGAAAAAGCCTCCAATCACAGGTGGGTTTCACTGTAGACTGACTGGATAAGAAAAGGCAACTGTACGGCCTCTTACGGCCTCTTTCACTGTAGACTGACTGGATAAGAAAAGGCAACTGTACGGCCTCTTACCCTGTACCATGGTTATAACAGGTTAGAGGCTTGATTGCCACCCATCACACTTTAAAGTGAGAACAGTTACTTCCTGGTCAGACTAATGTCATTATTTTGTTTTCTGATATCTACTTACGGTAATTCACATAGTTTGTGTACGTCATTTTGGTTTCGTTTGATTAACACCAGATGCAACTTATGTATACCTGGTTAGATCTGGAATTCACACATAAGCCACTTCAGCCCCCCATAATGTAACAGTACCTTCTGTTTCTTTACACCGTTTTAGGCCCTTGTACTTTTTGGGAACAAAGATACTCAACAGGTTCAGGGCCTGTGAAGCGCTCAACATTTCAGAGGATGTTCTTAAAAACTGGTTACAAGTAAGTCTGCATGTCGTTCTATGGTTATATATAGTAACAACCTGGGCTTATACTCTTCACTTCACAGTTTCACGTCCAACATGCTAATCTATGCTTGTTAAGGTTGTATGGTTAATTTTTTTCTCACAAAGAACGCAGTAAAGAAAGATTTTTTTAAAAGTTACTATTCCATCTTTCCAGGGGTTTCATTAAGGGTTAGTCACCGGGCAAACTGACTGGCTGTGAGGATGATTTTCCCGCCTTGTTTGACCATCTAGAGAGAAGTTTTTCTTATAAACAAGCTCAGTACAAAATGTTTTGCCCGCCTGTGAAAACCAGTTGTCCTCCTGCTGAAAACGTTGAGGTCTTTTTTCGCTGTCCCCGTTTGACGCTTCCTTAGCGGTATGCAACATTACAAATGAGAGCCCCGATCTTTCATTTTTCTTTAAACTTCACTCGGTTTTAACCTACAGTGTTTTCTTTTCTGATGACAGTGCATTCTCAAGAGCTATAGATTTTATCATGGAGTTCCTCTGTGCGGAAACAGGACACACCCATAATTAATTCAATCAGTCTTCTAATGTCTCTTAATTTTGGTCTTGTTTCAGTTAATAGAATTAAATTATCACTCAAAGAACGCTTATCACAACTCCACGCACGCGGCAGATGTGCTTCACGCCACAGCTGTGTTCTTGGCCAAAGAAAGAGTCAAGGTAGGTTTTGTATAGGTTATCATACGGTTTCGAGTTCAATGTGGAATTAATTTGCACGAGTGAGTTTTTCAAAAAGCTGAAATTGCACGAGCCGCTTCGGCGAGTGTAATTTCAGCTTTTTGAAAAACTCACAAGTGCAA